ACATTGCAAATTTTTGGTGGGGGAAGAATGGGGAGGGTGGGAACAAGATCCATTGGGTCAAGTGGTATAAGTTAGCTCAGGCTAAGGTAGATGGTGGGCTAGGATTCAAAGTGTTTGAAGATTTTAATGAAGCCCTGATTGTTAAGCAGCTGTGGAGGGTGTTAACTAAACCTAACATTCTGATGAGTAGGGTTATCAAAGGGAAATATTTCCATAACCAAAACCTCATGAAGGTTCAGAAAAAAGACAATGATTCATGGATGTGGAAAGGGTGGCTAGAGGCTAGGAAGACTTTGAGCCTTGGGTGCAGATATCTTGTGGGAAATGGGCTGTCAATTCATATTTGGGAGTCCCCATGGATCCCTAACAATCATGATTTTAAACCTGTTTGTACATTTCCAGGAGATAAGCAAAATCTCACAAAGGTAGCTGATCTTATGAAACCAGGCACTCAAGAGTGGGACAAAGAGTTAATTATGCAGAATTTCAGTCCTCATGATGCCAATGTGATTCTCAATATCCATACAAGCAAGATGGGCATTCAAGACACACTGATATGGCACCACAGCAAGGATGGAAAATTCTCAGTGAAAAGTGCTTACCAGATAATTCAAAGGAAGAGAAAAGAGATTCTGGGGAAGGAGGAATGTAGCTCAAGCAGTCAAAGCTCTCAGCAAATGTGGAAAAAGACCTGGAAGTTGCCCATTAAACCAAAGGTGAAAAACTTTCTATGGAGATGCTTACAGAATTGTCTTGGAACTCTAAACAATCTGGAAAAGAGAGGTATGACTGTTGATGGGATATGTGGATGGTGTGGTGAATGCAAAGAAGACTTGGAACACATTATGTTCACATGTACCAGAGCTAGAAGGGCTTGGAAAGTAGCTGGGCTAGATTGGGACAGATTAAAAGAGGAGAAAGTGGACTTCAGAGAGTGGTGGAAGGAGATCTGCAGGATTAAAGGGGCAAGCAATGGTAGAGACAGGATTTCACTATCATCATACATCATGTGGTGGTTGTGGAAAACAAGGAATGGCTGGCTTTTTGAAAAAGAAAGGATATCTGAGAAGCAGATGGTGGACAAAGCAATCATGGAATGGCAAGAATATGAAGACATTTGCAAAAATCAAACCTCCAAATCACAGAAACTCCAAGGAGTAGGGGATGCAGGTTCTGCACTCAGTGCTAATGGAGGTTCTGGGATGAGGATTGTGATCAAAGGGAGAGCATGGGGAAACAATGAAGTAATGCATCAGTGGGATGCTTCTAGGGACACAGGCACACAGGATCATATAATTGGTCCAGTGGAAAGACAACTTCTTAATCTGAGGAAATGGCTGCTGGGTGGTAAAGAAGAAGGGTGGCACAAAGTAGAAATCTTCATTGTTGACCCTAAGATGAGAAAACAGGTTATGCAAATGACAGGGCTGGAGTTGAGCATGGCCATATTAGTGGAAGATATTCATGTCTTGTTAACTAGTTTTGCTAATTGGGGCTTTGTTCATAGCTGGTAGCTGTTTTTTATTTCTTATTTCTGGTTGTTAGCTTTGTAGTATGACCTTGATGGTCTTGGTAGGGATGCCTGTTATCAGGCTCTCCATGAACTTGTAACCCATGGGTTACCCGTTGTGTATATTTTTTGAGTCTTTATGATATTTGATGAAGGTTTATAAAAAAAAAAAA